ACCTCTCTGTCATTCACTAATCGATTTAAGCCGTTTAACACATTGAATCAATTAAAGATATTCTGGTTAGTGTCCAGTATGAAAATTATGTTACAGATATCTGCTGTTTGGAGCTAAATTGAATAACATTTTTATAACACACATGTCAGTTGATGTTACAGGACTGGACTACATCGATGCCTAGTATAAAAATAGGAAGTGAAGTGGTAGAGCACGTTGACCGCTTCACTTATTTGGGAAGTACCATCAGCCCCAACGGGTTGATCTCTGACGAAATCTTAGTTCGGATACAGGGGGCTCGTTTCGCATTTGCCAGTTTACGCAGAATCTGGCCTAAACAAGATGTTCGATTATCGACCAAAGGGCGGGTGTACTGCTCATCAGTCCGCTCCGTCCTCCTTTATGGTTGTGAGACCTCGCCACTGAGAGTGGAAGACATGAAAAGCCCGGCTAGTTGTCTTTGATCATAGGTGCTTGCGCTCTATTTCCCGTGTAAAGTGGCATAATAAGGTGAGCAACATTGAAGTTAGGCGTCGAGTTCTAGGTAAATAGGGGAAATCAATCGACGAAGTCGTGAAATTACAAAGACTGAGATGGTTAGGACATGTGTTACGCATGCCTAGTCATCGCCTTCCTCGACGGGCAATGTTAGCGGATATAGGGTCAGGCTGGAAAAAAGCTAGCGGCGGTCAAACAAAAACATGGCTTCAGTCAATGAAATCCACAACAGTTGGTCTAAGCCACGTAGGGAGGTGTAAACTTCCTGATTGGGGTCCTCGGGACGGTAAAAATCAATGGTCGGAAACAATTGGTGACATGGCTCAAAATCGTTCTCAGTGGCGTAGATGCATCCACTCCTTGTGACTTATGATCTCCAATGAAACTGTTTTGTTCTTCGTTATTACTCCTCCTTTGTCTCACACCTTTGCTTACTGTCTGTTATGCGTTTCTTGTACTTTCTTTTCTTGCTTTGTGTGCTACAAGGAGGGAGTGTGGCGACTCGAACTGTCGCACATCAGTGCAAAGTTCTATGTCGAAAACAGACAGACAGACAGTTGTATTTCAAAGTCAAATTTACATCATGAAGGAAGTTTTACCACGGTTAACTATTAAACTGTCATAATTTAATAAGACAGGTGTTCACCTATACTAGCATTATTAATCAAGTCATGGATAATCCACACTTATAAATATGAAACTGATTTAATTCAAAAAGTACAGATGGCAATCAAATTTCATAACCACAACAAGAATTTCTTCAACTATGAAAGAACGAACATTTAACATACACTGAGGGAGTAAGCCTTTTCAATTGTATCTTGTGTGATCATTTCAACGAGGCTATGAAGTTTTGTTACACCAGACACGGACGAGAAATGCATAGAATACAGGCCAGGAGTGTCGCCTTAACAGGAGTTTCAACAGGGAAAAAGAATGTAATTTAATTCACTTATATCAGTCAGTCTTAGTATGTGTTGTTGATAAAATCTGTAACACAGAGCGACAGATACTTTTCAAGTAATTTCCTTCTGAGGCGTTTTTTGTTGGAATACACAGAGATACAACATATCGATTCGACCAAATTAGTCAATAGGGGTTCAGTACTCCTCAACGAGAGTAATACAACAAACCAACAGGGGTTATTGGTCAGCACAACTGGATAGAGTGTCATTATTTAATCTGAATTATTTGAAAATTAAAGCTTGCCTGCATGATACACAACGCCATACAGTTAGAATAGTAGGTTAAATTACTTGTTGAACGTGTACTATTGTTTATTTACTTTTAACTGAAAATCTCCATCTGAAGATTCAATCAGCTTTTGAGGCCTAATGCGAAAACCTCGGGGTAAAACAACTTCTTAAAGAATGCAGCCAATTCAACATACACATACTTGATGAATTCAATGATTAACTAGTTGGATCTTGGTATTAATTAAATATAATATCACTAGACGGTGTCATTAGGTTGAGAAAATTAAAATAATTAGTCCCTTTGATAATTTTGAATAAGGCATTAAGAAGACAAATTTCGCCGCGAGATGATATCGTCATTTCGTAGTTTCTTTACAACCGCTTTACAACTAACATGGTTAACAATAATAAAATAAAGTTCATGACAATTACTCGGTTAAATAAAAAACAAAAGTACATACTGATGACAAATCATATTTTGGCAGTTGACAGCTCAAATACTTCGGTCAGCCGTCAAACGTACATTCTACGCCTCATCTCTTTTTCTCACATGACGAACATTTTCGATCCCTGTTCCTACGATTAAAGGACGAAATTCTGTGAACTCTACTTCAAACTGTATCTACAAGTTCAACTACAACTGCGGTGACACCTATATAGGTAGAACCAACAGAATGTTCCAATGTCATCGAAAAGAACATGTTCCAAAATAGCTGCTAAATCATATAGAAAATCTCAAGGCGATTAATCTGAATAGAAATATAGCATCATTCATTGCAAAACATTTATTATTGTCAGGTCACAAAATCAATATTAATGACTGTTTCACAATTAGTTCACATAACTCTAATTCAAGGTTTGTTATTGAAGGTGATGGAAGCACTTTTTAGGGATTAATCACATACAAACTAAACTGTGTGTCCAAATAACAATAGACTTCAATCTTCGCCTACGATGGATTACATGACCTACTTAAATATGATTGGTCATTAGTATGTACTTTTGCTTTTGATCTAACTGAGTAATTGTCATGATCTTTATTTTCATTATTGTTAACCATGTTAGTTGTAAAGCGGTTGTAAAGATACTACGAAGTGAAGGTATCATCTCGTGGCGAAATTTCTCTTCTTAATGCCTTATTCACATTTCATCAGTGCTTTATGTATTTTAAGTTTAATCATGAGTCGAAATCAGTTAGAGAACCATTGGATTACTTAAAAGTACTGAACAGCTGTTTCGTCCTAGTGTAGGACCCTTCAGTAGCACACGGTCACCTCTTTGACTATTCAGTCACCGAGATCCAAACCCGCAAGAATGCGTACTGATGGAAAGTCCCGAAATAGGACAAAACATCTGCTCGCTACTCCCAAGTTTCCCAATGATTCTCTAACTGATGTCAACTCGTTACCAAACCTGTAACCACTCAAATCCCTGCAAAGCAGCGCTTAATAATAATATAATTCAAGTTGTGTTTTTTGGTTTTAACTTTAAAGCTGAAGCATATGTTACAGTGAGTAGGTATAGAGAAAATGATGTATAGGTAGTTAGCTCTAGCAATTCTAACTTTGAAATAATCTAACATATTGAAATATCTGATCAGTCAGGGGTTAACTTAAAGTTATATGTATATGCCTTTTTGATTCATTTCAATAACGTATAGAACATAGATCTTATCTGTTTTGGTTATGGCAAACAAACCCCAGACTTTTTAATTACTTCTCTTTATCTACTGTTGGATTAGATACAATTATACTTAGCTTTCTCTAGCTAAAGCCTTGACTGCTAACTAATCTAGTTATCAGAATATTAATATAAACATAAAACAAGGGTAATGAGTTAGAGTAGAATAGAATAGGAGAATAATTTATTTCCCTTGATGAATCAGAGCAAAATGACTGTATTCTAAATGTTATTAGTGAATGCGAAATACTATTTCTCTGTGTGGTACACAAAGATAACAAGCACTTCATGAAGAAATACAGGATCAATAATTCTCATCATAAATCATGGACCATTGGATCGGATCCTAGTGGCTGAATGGTCTAAGAGCTAGCTCACCATGTAACCAGAAGATCCTGGGTTCGAACCATGGCGATGGGTGTGTTCTGATGAGGAGTCCTAAACTAGGACGAAACATTTGGCTGTTCATTATTCCCTCAAGGTTTTCTAGTGGTTCTCTAACTGATGTCAACTCATGATAAAATCTTCCAACTGTTATAACTGCACTGAATTAAGGTAAAACCCCGTCGCCAATTTGTTATAACTGTGGGGAATTGAATGATAGACGTTTTCACCTTATTCTGTCTGCGCCTGAACTAATCTGTCTATCTGCTCGTCGTACCTTCCGATTTAGTAAGGCACGCAAATATCAAAAGACAAAGGCTGGACTGTGACTGTGTATTGAAGTGCAACAACGATAAAGAAAGCCATGGTATTTATACATTTTACAACAATATGGACAGCTAACAGCATTTGAAATAATTGACCTTACTAGCCAATAACAAAGTGTGTGAGAAATGATAATATGCCATATGTGCGACATTGACAGTCAGTAACAAAATGTGTGGGAATGATAATATACCATATATACAAAATTAGCAGTCACTACCAAAATGCGTGAGAATGATAATATACAAAATTAGCAGTCAATACCAAAATGTGTGAGAATGATAACATACCATATATGCAAGTTTAAACAGTCAATACCAAAATATGTGGGATCCTATCACCAACCAATCAAACAAAATCCCTACAAAACCATTACTTGAAAATCCGAGAAATGTACAAACAGTAAACACGGACACCTGTTGGCTAAATTTTAGTGCCTATGTTAATTACTATTTCACTTGTTCACATAATATTCGACATAATAATCGACTTTTAAAAAAAAAGGTATACACTGAAGTGTACATATGTGTTAAAATTAGACCATGGTGATACATAGATTAGCATATTTAAAAGATAATGAATTTTTAAACAGCAAATTATCTAAAAGAAAAAGAGAATGGCGTCGTTATCGCATTTTAAATGACAACCTTGGATAAATCTATAAACTCGTCAGTGATAAATCTTCTTAGCCGACTGTTTTGTAGAATATCGAATTATTTGTTATTATGTATCATGTTTTTGCTGAAGTAAAAATATCAACCATCCTACTGAATATATCCAGCTCAGCGAAACGTTAAATCTGATTGGTCAACTGCTAAATGGCCAATAATATATTCAGCATTTGATTTGATGTTGTTTGAATTTCCCACTTATCCTTCTTTATATATATTTAAAGTACAGGCGACAAGAATGAATTCTAAATGAAAATTTGACAAATAAATTCTTATTATATTATTTAATCGGAAGTAGACTTTGTTGTATTTCATTTCTTCCTTTTGGGAATAATCTAAAGCTTAGTTCTTCCCAAATAAACTTTGTCATCTAATGTCTATTCGAGGAATAATACGATAATGCTTATACAAAAATAAAATTAACTGAATTTATAGTTAGAAAGTGATTTTAAAAAAATTCTTTCTTAAAACAACAAAAACAACAACAGTCTCCAATGTTCCAGTCATCACAGCGTCCTGCACAAGGTAGAAAGGCAGTTCGTACATCAACTGCACCTAGTCTGTTCAGTGATTCTGATAAAAATTCTCTTCAAAGTGAAAGTTGTATGAAAGATGCTTTAGATTCACGCACTGCTGACTGTCGTTCTCCTACTTTTGATCTTCGTGGGGATAGTAATCATATCAGTAGAAAGTTGGGCGTAGAAAATATACGTAGAATGAGGGATAGATCACTGCCAAGCCCAGTATCAAGAGAAGAGGTTCAATCAATTTACAGTGTACATCAACATCTTAAAAATACAATCATTCAGTTTAAAGATCCTGCCAAACAAGGTTGTTGTCCATCTCCAACTAGAGTGAAAAGACGAAAAGAAGTTATACGTTGTTGGAGTCGTGAAAGGATTATACGTAATGAAACAATCATAAGCATACGTCCACCTACATCTCCGAAACCAGCATTGGAACATAAAAATGAATCGAATGAAGAGAATTTACACAAATCTCGGCTAACAGCTTCTACATCTAATTTCCGCACTTTTCCATCTGAAATGTCAGCGAATCAAAGTGAAAGTTCCGTTTCCCTACCGTCTTCATTACGATATATTCCAGTGCAGATAATTGATGACAATCAGGCTAATAACACAAAGACAACTGTATCATCCAGCATATCTGATAAATGTCAACAAAATAATCTGCCTGATAAAACTTCTTGGATTAAATCTTCGAATAAAGATATCTCAAATAAACGGTTGAATTTATCTATCTCTAATTTGGAATATGCTGAGTATAAAGACGATGAGTAAGTTTCACTGTTTGTTTTCTTCCTAATCAGAAATTTAAAAGAATTTTTGGGTTAGGGTATGTATGACATTTTCTCAAGAAAATGTAGGAATTTGTCCTAAATATTCATTACTATTGGTTTATTGTGAAATGACGATTGTCCTCCAGAAATGGTAACATCTCGGCATATAAAACGGTGATGTCAGCTGATTTAACAGTGTGAAAGATGCATAAATGGATAACTGTTGTTACATTCCTAACTGAATTTTTCGTGAAGAAACTTACTGGACGGTCTAGACTATTTTGCGCGTATATTCAGGAATTATAAGGTTAATGACTGATGGAATTCATCGATATTCATGAAGTATTACTAGTCGAAATATATTTGCCTCGTTTTTTCTTGACAAAGAAGTGCTATTTCGAGAAGGCAGTCAAATGTGTTTACAATTTCCCTAACGATCACGATAGCTGACAAAGAAATTTGACTAGTTTTGTTGATGCGTAGTCCCCGAATTCTTCACTGCGTCTCACTATTTTACCAGTAAATACCTGTGACCTAATTGAATGTCTAGCAAATCGTAGGTGATCCAGGATTTCTGCTACAGTCGGTTTGTCACATGGTCTCAATACTGTTATACTGTTCACATGTCAGAAGTCAATACAGAATCTATACTCTTCCTGTTGGGCTTCTTCACTAACAATACTGGAGATCTGTACAGACTATCGACTTCTTCGATTATCCTCTCAGTCAATATTTCATAAATCTGTCTGTTTACTTCTTCCATATAAGGCAATAACAAATGTCTTGTAGTAAAGCTTGCTCTCCCCGGTTCTTCAGTGAGGTCTTATGTCTTGTTTCATTATCCATGCGTCACTGGTCCAGTGGTAGAATGCTTATCAACCACAATATGTGGTTGGACCACTCCGAAACATCGCTTAGCCAGTAATAAATTTGGAAAAAAAAGGGAAGGTTGGGAGTGAGGCTAGCTACCCCCATCCCACTCCATAAAAACAGACACACCACTACTGAAACTTTAAAGCTGAATTTTGAATCCGTATGTTCCACTTTGAACGTCTGATGTATGGTGAAGTTATGCATCCTTAGAATTGGAAAGAATGATTCAAAAACAATAAAACAAATCCTTAGAACGTTTTAAATTCTTAAGCTGAACTCTAATAATACACACATTCTTCTCGATAGTGTTGTGCAACTTAAGTGGACAGTACTTTGTTCTCAACTGTCTTTTGCTGTTTCAGGTGAACAAGTATATTAACGGGGTATACAAGAATTCAAAATAATAATTAGGGGAAAATGTTTGTTCATCTACTGAACCTATAAAGTGTGATTTTTTCTTCTTCTATGTGTAACAATATCCTCCAAAGTTATTAATTCATCATTTCAAATACACTTGGTAAAATGAATAATAATAATAATAGTGCATAGGATGACAAAATTATATTTTCTTAACCCAAATGATAGACATATATATAAAATAATGTTTTCTTTTTTTTGTTAGTTTCTGATTTTACCATTCATCCTGTGACTCTGTGATCTCTCTTTTCCTATGGTCAACAAGCTTTTTTTTCTTTCACTTTATTCTTTATTATTCTAGTTTATTGCCCATCAAATTTTTTTGATTTTGATGTACTTTGTCATCAAATGAAACTGTTAAGTCCCTTCGCCTTAATCTAATTCTCAATATTTTGATCTTTTTGGTAATAAAAATAAATGCGGTTGCCACATTTTCACACATACACACGCACACACGCGTCACATACGCAAACGTCATGTGTGTGTGTGTGCGGAATTATTCTACTAGGTGTAGCGAGATGAAACGCTAAGAACAAATTGAAACTGGCATAACAGTTTCAAGGTTTTCGTATTACGCAACCCCTGGACAACATGTTAATTCAAAAATATATATATTTTTTCTATAGTTTGGTTTGTAAGGGTTAGTTTCATTTTTACGAGTTGATCACGGATTGATATCAGTTAGAGAACCATTGAAAACAAGCACCGGAGTACTGGACAACTGTTTGACCGTAGTTTGGGAATTATCGGCAGTACGCAACCACTAGGGTTCGACCGCAGGACCTTCCGGTTACAAGGCAAGCTAGTATACCATTCAGCCACTGGGACCCAACCCGATTCAATAGCCTGCCCATGAATTTTAACTTCTACCAATTTGTGATTTTTAACGCGACCCCAACCACTGTCGTGGGTGGGAGATCTATCCACACACGTGACATCTAAATGGACCTCAATGGTCACGACTTCTCACTAGATCTCCAGGAAACTCCATCTTATAGCAAGTCACTAACGAGCATCAGATTAACTTTCCATAGTTTGGTTTGTAAGCGTTACTTTTGTTTTGTTTTTACGTGTTGATCAAGGGGTTGAAATCAGGATATCAAGGTCCTGGGTGCGTACTGCCGATCATTTCCAAACTAGGATGAAACAGATGGCTGTCCAGTACTCCCTGGTTTTCAATGGTTCTTTAGCTGATATCAATCCATGATCAACTCGTAAAAATGAAAAAATATATATTAAAATTATGAATAGAATCAAACTCTGTATTTGACAGTAAAAAATTATAGTATACGTGAAAATTCACGTCAAAAAAATTTGAGTTAAAATTGAATTTGAAAGGTGATATTGTTGGTTTTCATCTGTTTTATGTTATTTAAACTTTAACTGGAGATTAAAGTTCATTCTGATATACTCAGATGTTGTTTTTTTATTAAGTAGATAAACTGTGGACAAGACATGCACAGAAGCACCATATTTTGCTCATTTTTTTTTATTCGTTATAACCTGTTAATTAAATTCAGTATATCGGTTAGAGAGCTATTGAAAACCAGGGAATACTGGATAGCTATTTCTTCCTTGCTTGGGACTCACCATCAGCACGCACCCCAGTAGATTCTCTAAATGATCTCAATCCGTGATCAAACTTGAAACAAATCAAATCCTTACAAACAAACCCATGAAATCGCTGACGGCTGGCTGCAGGACGCGTGGTTGACAGGAGTTCTAGTAGGAAGTCGTGACCAGTAAGGTCCGTCTGGTCGGAAGTAAGGACGAATACTCGCCGATGACAGTGGCTGATGGTGGCGCTAAAATCATGGATTAGCAGGAGGTAGAACTCATTAGCTGGTAAATGAGTCTGTTCCCAGTGGCTGAATGGTATACGAGCTTGCTTTGTGACTAAGAGATCCTGGGTTCGAACGACTATGGTGGGTGCGTACTGACGACGAGTTCAAAATTAGAATGAAACAGGTGTCCAGTACTCCCTGGTTCTCAGTTGTTCTCTAACTGATATCAATCTAGGGTAAAACTTCAAATAGATCAAACCCCTACAAACAAACTCTTGAAAATTCAGTGTCGTTTAATCCAGTGTGCAAAGTACTGGTTCTGCTCCTAATGTGCTACACCAAACCCGCCATAATAAACATAATATGCTTATTACCCATACACTTAGTTGGCACACTAAGTGACTTTTAAGTGCCGAAAACAGAACACAATTCAATAGGACTTAGTTATTTCAGAATATGCTCTAATGAGAAGTATATCTAAATGGAATAACAAATTATTCTTATTTAGGGGCAAAGATTGTAGAATTTATCTGACTTGTATGGCTTAACTACGGACGTTGAGAGTGTTCGTATTATTTTCACAAAGGAGAAACGGAAAGCGACATTCAATTCTGGACGGATGCGTACCCTTTAAAACAAAACTTAAAACATCTAGGACATCCATAGACGGGCTAGACGCTTATTCAGTTAATATTAAGTTGATTCAGTCTGATCAATTTATTTTAGCCCTAAGTTTATCTCGATGGCGTAGTAGATGCTCTACAAGTGGAATCAAAGATATTTCCTTGATATCATCTGTAGTTTTTTAAAGTTCTCTTTACAAACATTTGCATCTAAGAGGTATTCATGTGGCTTAAACTTCCCAAAAAGGTCTACTGAACACCACACGATATTTCATGTGAACACTAAATAGGAAACTACTATGTCTGAAAATGTTATGCTGCAAGCATCAATGATCAACGATAAATCTGAAAATTTAGTTTTGTTTCCAAGGTTTGAATTAACTTTTGAAAACTGACATTCTTTGCACTCCCGGAAAGCATTTAAATGACATGATGTACAATAAGGTTAAGTTAGCCATCTTGCTTCTTTCTCATCTTAAATAATCTTTTTTCAACTTAACAAATATATGACCCTTATTTCCAGTGTGTACTGTTAGTTCTTACACAATGTCTTCTTATCTTTATAAACAACTTTTGAGCATCAACTAAAATTAGGAAAATTCCACAAAAATTCATGATCCTTCAAACTTAGATGGTCAAGGTAATGATAATGTCTAAAATAACTCCTTTTGGATGCGCAAATTAAGCTTGTTAATATGGATCCCCACAGCCTCAGCAATATTTAGTAGTCGAACTCTTAAGGCGAAATTGAGATTCGTAGGTATGCTGTAAATGACCGTGAAAGCATGGTTAACATCAATTTTGTGTTCTGTATCCACAAGATGGGATAGAATAGCGCTGTGAATAGATTTTGTTTGTCCTTTGCTTAACCACACAGGGTAATGTTTGGAAATTTGACGAGAAATACGCCTAATTGTACGGCGTATGTAATTGGCTCCACAGGAGCAGTTAAACTGTTAGATACACATGGAAGTGGCGAAACTAGGCAGTTTGTCTTTTACTCCCAAACGCAAAGGAGGAGTAGTTCTAAAAATTCAGCGTTATTCGGCAGCAGGAAATGCTCTTTTCACTGCCTCATTTCTAAGGCGCTGTGTTATTATCTCGCTGGTGTTGTCCTCAAGGAACTGCATTTTTAATTGTAATTTTGAGTAATTTTATTAGTTATGTGGCGATTCTGTATTCCTCAATAACAGACTGTTATACGCTATAGTAATAAGCTTGTACAACCTTTGAAGATGGCTTGGTTGATGGGGAAAATCAACGTTGTTAAATCGTCTTTCATTTTCTTGGTGACTAAGTG